TAATAATTATAATAATAACTGTTCTTTGAATATTAAATTTTTTTTCACATTTGTTGGATGATGTCGTACTTCTTCCTCAAGTCCATTTGGATCTTTTTTGGATCGTGCTTCTTTCTGGATGCCAGCAATTGGCGCATCTCCGAGGCGCTCATGTTCAGATTCAAGTCGACCGCGCCGTTGCTGTTCGTCACCTTGGATCCGTTCAGTTGGTGGTTCGAACCCTTGAACGACTGCGGCGAATCGGGAACCGAACCCGTGCTTCCTCCCGATGCCAAATTCTCGCTCTTGGAAAGACTCTGCGGCGTCGAACTTCGTGAACTTTCCACCTTTGAATGGGAAATTTTGGTTGTAAAAACAAAAAAAGAAACTCGATTTTTCGGGTGTTAAGCTAGTTTAGAAACTAAACTAATGGTTTTAATTTCGTTTAAGCGTTGTTAATTGTAATTAAGGTGTAAAATAATTTTACATAATTACCTCTTCCTTACTCCTATCCTCGACTTTTTCTGAATTTTCGGAACTTTCCGTCCGATTAACTTCGTCTTCTAATTCTTTAGGTGGAGGTTCGATGCGTTTTTCTTCAACCTTGTGATTATGTTCTTCGTTTTCTTTATTTGACTGTAAATAAAATGGCGATCTTTTAGGTAATTTCGAACATCCCACACTCGAGAAACACGGAAATTAGAGAGAGCTTCCGTACTCCAACGCTAAATCGCAGCGCCCACGGCCGGATAATCGAACCGAATCGTAAACAAAGGTGCTACTCGCTTCACACGATCGACTTAACGGCAGCCATTTTGTTTACAATGGTCGAGTTATCCGACCAGCACGGTTAATCGAACGACGATTTTTTTTTAAATCTCGTGCAAATTTTGATTACGTAAAGTAGCGCGCGATGATTCCAGGGTTGTTTTTTTTTTTTTTCGTTTTCTTAGCTCGTCCTTGAACTCGAACCGAACAAAGCGCCATTATAACCCCTAGGGCAGATTTATTCCGAGAAACGCGTTTTAAAGTTTTATAGTTTGAGTTTATGAAATTCCATTCACTCTCGCGCCGTTCGAAGAGGGTTCAACGGAATTTCGTCACTGTCACGTGATGGTTTAACAGTAATTGGCTTTAATTGTTACTATTGTTCTGTTTCGCCCATCTGACGCTTTTTGTTAAATTTATTTTATCGTGTCACGAAAAATCCGCCATTTTAAAAAGGGAGAAACGTAAGGTTCCGCGCGCGCGTTTCCCTAATTTCCCGCAAGTTACGCTGCGGCCCGACGTAACACGATCGTTTATTCTTATCGAGTGTAATCCGCGGTGACGTCCCACATCGTCGAAAATAACGTGTTATTACGTAACCGCGGCCTCGATATCGGGGGGTTTAGGTATTTTCCAGAGTCGGGGATGGTCGACCAGTTTCGTCACCCGCGCGCGCGTTACGTTTTCAAGATCGCGTTTGGGTCGATAACCTCAGCATAAGTCGAATATTTTCGAGTCGAGTTTCCTACGGGAGGAGCGGAAAAATGTATTTAAAATTTAAAATTAAAAGAGGAAAAAAAATGACGGGTTTCCGGGACTGGGTCGCGTGTTCAGTGACGCGAACACTACAAAAAACATTGCATACTTCTCCCGCATCTTTCGTTCGAAGCGCGTTACCTCGCTACGTCTAAACGAGATGTCGTTGCGCCACTTTAACGCGATAATAAAGCTTACGTAACAATTTACGGCCCAGAGAAACTGCAAATCTATATCCGTAACGTGACGATGATGCACTCTGTGTTACTTAAGATTTCCTTAACTTACGAATTAGCATCAGCACAATTCAACTGCGTGCCTTACTCCTTATCCAGTTCGTAACCGGAGTAACAGCGTTACTTATGTTCTTTATCACTCTACTACAAATAACGAAGTGGCCGTCTGCTTAAGGTTACACGTTACTCCAATGTATTATTACGAGCAACAGTTACGTATGGGTGTTATTTCGTGTTCTTGTGATAGAGGAAAGAATAACGCGATGTAACGTAACATCGGAATGTAACATATGCATTGTGGTATTACGTTTTCTCTATCTTCTGACGCAAGATTAGAGTAACATATACAAAAGTTATTCCGTAACACCTCATTATATTCGCTCCTATTCTGAATCTATTAAAGGGAATCCACGAAACTAGCAAGAGTAACGATCCGGAATATTCTTGTTACTCAGTTACGGAAGGGGGAACATAAAATTAACACCCGCGCGAGTACAGTACATTCATCAACGCATCATCTTCCTACATAATTTCTAAAAAAGGAGACGCGTCGCGCCTGGTCGCCTTTAAGGAACGAACGCCTTCGCTACCTCGACACCTCCGTCTTGCCCCGAACGCACCCCCGTTACGCGATCGAACGTTTCCCGGAATTAAGGAATAATTCGCATAAATCGAACCGGCAAACGTCGCCTTTCACGCATGGCGTCGCGTCGCGCGTCGTCGGAAGCTAAGTGACCTTGCACCACTTCTAGAATCCCCTGACGGGGGGAAAAACACCAAACAAAGGAAACTCTACCTCCGCTGGAAACAACCAGGTTAAGAAGAAACATCCACTTTAACCTTTCAACCCGACATTCGAGAAGGACAAACGTGTAATCCCCGATTTGTAGTCCAAAGTGTAATGGTGTTACACCGGGGTTAGAGGTAAGTCGCGTTTGATATTCCACTAGCCGGGGGGAGCTCGAGTTCCCAGAAGCGAACACGTGACCGAGTCACGGTCGCCGCGAAGAGGTCACGTTGGGAGAAAGCGCACGCCAACTAAACAACTTCGCGGGGGTAACAACGGGGGGAGACAAACCTCCAACTCCGAAAAAAAAAAATATGGCCCCGTAACAATCTTGTTTATCATCCAAAGCTGGACGTAACGTGAAAGTATTATTAATTAATTGATACGGAGCGTCGTAACCTCGAAGTATTTTCAGAGGTTTTTCTTACTACTACAGTAGTTGGACCAGTCTCTGAACCTCTGAAAAGGACATCTACGTCATGATCCACTACTAGATTTAATAGTGTTTTTTCCCTCCCTCTCTCTCTCTTCGTTACGCGTAACATAATAATAATAAGGTGTATTATTCCGAGAAATAATCTTGCGTAACGACGCGGCAATAATTTAAAACGATGACGAAACCTTAAAATTTCCAGATATTTTAGAGGAAAAAACGGGGTATCGAATGGGTACGAAACCTTAATTCTCATTACATCGTCATCGCAATTACATTTAAAAATTGTGTTAGTAGTAAAAAAGATGCTTAATTGCGTTTAAAATCCCCTTATTTTTTTTATTAAATCGAAAGCCGGAGGTAAATGAAATCGTGTTAATCGTATACGACGATGATGAAATTCGGAGGAAATTTGTCGAGAATAATCGGAGTTTAAACAGAATTTAATCACCATGACGATGATAATTCCGTAATCGAAATTCCGACGACGATCGAATTAAAAATCATCCTCTAAAAGTAGGAAATCGGGACTTTAGGAAAAGTATGAGAGTTAAAATATAATGGATAGGGGATCGTCCAAATAATTAAAAAAATTGCGAGGATGATAAAGATTAATATAATCAAAAGTTAAAACCGTACGTCGATAGCGTAATTACAATTAAAACTTGTTGCGCAGTTATCGGGGGGAAAAAATATTTATTTTAGGGGAAAAACCACTGAAAACAACGAGAGGGCGCCTAATCGAAGATACATTTTTCTTCACAAAACTTAATGGAAATTAAAAGGCGCAAAAAGTTATCGGGGGAGTAAATATGTATTTTAGGGGTAAAACCACTGAAAACGGCGAGAGGGCGCCGAAACGAAGTTACATTTCTCTTATTGACAAAACTTAATGGAAATTAAAAGGCGCAGTCTGGTAGGAAAGGACTTTAATTACAGCGAAGTGTCAAGTAAGTGTTATTTAAGGACCAGAACAGAAAAGGAAGGGGGTTAGGAAGGTAATTCGATGGGAGTGGAAAGGTGAAAAAATAAAATAAAATAAAAAATACGTCACTTACCGAGTCGGACTGTGTCACGTGATCGAGGTGACCGTTAAGGGTTTCTCGGTTGCCATTAAGGTCTTTGTGGCGAGGTCTGGGCACGGGGGTCTTATTGTAGATGACGTTGTGTTGCGTGCCCTTGACGACCAGCTTCCTGTCTTTGTACCACTTCTTGCCCTCCTCGTCGATAACCAAGAGTCTGGTTTCGTTAGGAACCGCTTTGATCCGCTCCACCACTTGTTTGTGGTTCTCGTTGGCGATGTTGACCCCGTTGACCTCGACGATGCAGTCGCCTTCTCTCAAATCGGCGTATTCGGCCGGGCTGCCCTCGTCCACCTTGCCTATGTACTGTCCGGCTTTAGACTTTTCGGCGTGAAGATTGAAGCCGTATCCGTCGAAGTCGTCCCATTTGATCAGGTGACAAAGGCGCGGGGCCGGAGCGTCTTCCGACAGTTCCACAGACGACATTCCCGCACGACGCCTCGAACCACTCTGACTTCACGCGCGATCGACCTCCTCGTCACTTGTCCCCTACGCTGACGTAGAGAGCCTGACCCAGACGGTGTCTCTATCTGGTGAGTGCCGTTCGAATTATTTTTTTAATTTAAAAACTATATATTATTTTCTAGCGTAAAATTTTACCACTAGGAGGCGTTTACGATTTTTTTTTGTTTTTTAAAAATTTTTTTCTGTTTCCTGTTCCTAATTAGGTTGCTAACCAATAATTATTTATTATATTTAATCGTTTTAAATTAATAATAAAAAGTATTTATGTTTTATATTTTGCGGAATTTAATTTCCCGCAGTTGGCGTAATCGTCGTACGATATTACGTCAGTTCGATGTCGCTTGTCCAGTTTTTTGAATGAGAAAGTGTAAAGATGACGTCGATTTCTCGTTGTTTGAAGAAATCGAAGATTTGTGGTGAATTAATTATTTTAGTAAATAAAAAATAATTTGGCTCGTTTATTACGTGACGCAACGTTCGATTTAATAACTAACGGGTTAAACGGGTAAAGCGGCGATTCCGAACACGATTCTAGAGCGTTCGGAAACGTGACGAGTAATTTATAAACACGAATATCACGATACCGCGTTTTAAACGAAAAGTAATTTTAATACGTGAACGTTTATCGATTAACTTCTAATTATAACTCTTGATTCTCGGTTGTGAATACGGATATTAATTGTTTAAATGAAGCGGTGGAGAGTATTGGAGTATTCGGTTAACTACTCTAGAGTGTTCTGTTCCAATGGACAGAGTAGAGCAGTCGTCTGGGTCACTCGCCTACCGTGATCAGCCGATTACTGTCTTTCGGAGCTTTCACCACGAAGGCAATTTGCATTGCCCTTGAGAATCAACCAGAGAAATTTCAATACGGATAAAGTGAATTGTCAGAAACATTTCATTTCAGGTAAGCGATAACATTTGATTACTATTTATCAATAAATGATTAAGATACTGGTGCAAAAGTTTGTCTAAAGTGTGTACAAGCCGGTTGCATAAATTCCTTTGTTAAGAATAATGTAAATTTGACGAAGGATTGGGTGAGTGTGGTCAAATTAATATGTTTTTTTATATAAATATAACGTGAATACGGATAGAGCGCGAGATAACTTAACTCTCACCCCAACGTCACCCGCCCGGGTACGGTTCCTATCAGCTCTGTCATGATCCCAACCGTCTCATTCGGAGTTTGAATTGACCCCACTGAGTGATACAATTTCAAAATTAAAACAAGAAAATAGACATATAAAAGTTAAAATCCTGGCAAGAGCAACAACCTAGAATGAAGATTATTGGCATGCCGATACTCGAAAGTAAAAATTTAATTGATGTAAAATCTTGTCATACGTCGATGCTTCATCAATTTTAAATGTATATAGAATTAAAACTAATAATAATGATAAAAGAACAATCGCAGATGGATCACGACCGATTATAGTCAAGTGTGTTATAGTCTAACCCAGTTATAAAACAGAAAATAATGAATACTATTAAACAGAAAAAGCTTAAAATAACTACAAATGTACGTGGTATTATAGATGAGGAATATAAAATATATATAAATGAACATAGTGTACTGTATTACAGGAATCTTTTCTTTAAAATCAGAATGTTAAAAAAGAACAGGGAAATATATTGTACTGTACACGTGGATAAGTAATGGAAAGGTTTATTTGAAGAAGAATATCTCTTCCCCCTCAATTCGCGTATTAACATCGGAATGTATTGAAAAAATTTTATATAT